TTTTTTTTTTTTTTTTTTTTTTTTTTTTTTTGAGATAGGGTTTCTCTGTATAGCCCTGGCTGGACTGGAATTCAGAGCGATCCATCTGCCTCTACTTCCTGAGTGCTGAAACTAAAGGCATGCCCCACCACTTCCCAGCTTTTATATACAGTATCTTTTATCTACTCAGGAATTCATGGACATCTGGGTTGATGTCATTTCCTTGCTGTTGTGAGTAGAGCAGCATTGGACATGGTCGTACAACCAACCTTGTAATAAGATACAGAGTCCTTACTGTACAGGAGTGGTACAGTGGGATATCTTGTAGCTATGTCCAGTTACCTGGACTTTAAAAAAGAACGGTAAGTTTTTGAAGAGGTTTCATTGTGGGTGTAATATGATCAGATTGAAGTTTAGAAAGATCATTCTGGCTGAAGGATGCCGTATAAATTAGAAGGAAATAGAGTAGACAACAAGGTACTTAATCCCTCTGGGCCTATTTTATGTAATGCACAATTTTGTGAAAATTGAAGATAATGCATATAGCTAACCTATAGTGTCTGGCAGGAATTAGATATCTAAGAATGACAGCCATTTTTTTTTTTTTTTTTTTTTTTTTTTTTTTGGTAACAGCAAGTGCTGGGAGTGGCGGAGTGGGTCACTGGTAGAGTGCTTTGGCAGTGGGTTCAATTCCCACCACCGCTAACAAGGAAAAAAAGTGTTGGCCTTAGTGACAACTGAAATCAGAGATGTTTATTTTCCAGCCTGGAAAGCGAGGTGTAAATTAGTGTGCAGGGTTTCAAATACAGTGGGACCTTATTTCAGCCCATTTGTGCTTAACCCAGGGTCCTAAAGTCCTGGACACTCCATCAGAAGTCAACCTGAGACAGTGACTCTGATGCCAGTGAAGATTAAAGGCACACACTCTTCTCGGAGTGTGCAAAAGTGGAAGCAAGCTTTCTTAGGAAAAATTGCTGAAAAGTGAGAGTGGGAAGGTTTCCAAGGGAGGGAAAAGCTGTTGAATTCCTTTGCCCGGAGGTCTTTAGAGGACCATGGCTATAACTGGACAAAGGCTGCAGTAATCTCTACTGATGTTGGTTGGTTCTTGGCACTATCAGGGGCTGAACCAATAGAGAGCCTACAGTGTCTCTGCTTGCCCCCACCTCACCCAGACCTGCCCAGGGAGCTGCTCATGCGCTGCCTACTCAGTTAGGGGCAGTTGACGCCCCCTCTGTAATCTTTGATTTTGGCTTTGTTAGTGCCCAACCTTGACTGCTTGCTAGCTGTTACTTGCTGGCATTACTCCCTTCTGATACTGCAGATGTCTTAAATGCTGTTAATGTATGCTAGCTCTCTTTATTCTCACGGATACCAAGAAGTAGCTGCATCTGTTCTGAGTTAGCTCCTTATTTATGGAGTGGTCTGGGGTCTCTTTGCTGAAATAGGTTGAGGCTTCTTGTTACAAGACACCCTTACTTCCACTGTAATCTGTTACAATTAGCCGCATTAGAAGAAGAATATAAAAAAGAGCTGGGCGCACATGCCTGTGATCCCAGCACTTGGGGAAAGCAGAGGCAATTGGATCGCTGTGAGTTTGAAGTCAGCCTGGTCTACAGAGTGAGTCCAGAACAGCCAGGGCTTCACAGAGAAACCCTGTATAATAATAATAATAATAATAATAATAATAATAATAATAATAATAATAATAAATATATATGTATGTATATGTATATATACACATCTATATATTATATGTTATATATATGTGTGTGTATAAAAGGACAGTCATGGTGCACATTGGCTATCTCATAACCAGCAATAGGCCCTCTTATTTGTCTTCCTCAATCCTTTAGACCATGCCATGTTAACCTTTAATGTTTCTTTTAACCCAAGCCTATGTAAGCAGCATGCAGTTTCATTAGAGGGCTCTCTTTCTTACTGCTCACAGAGAGCCAGCTCGCACAGCATTAGAGACAAGAAGACTGCTGGGAGCAAAGTTAGGTTTTCATCTGAACGGGTAACATTTAGGTACCAGAGTGGGATGCAAAAGAACGTATCAAGCATACAACTGAGCAAAAGGAGATATTTGTTTACTTGTTTTTCAACATTCACCTACCATAAAATCCATTCTTTTAACATGTATAAAGCAATGGTTTTTAGTATGTTCCCAAGGCTGTCCAGCCGTTTGTCGCTGTCAAAACATCTGTAATCCCTTGGCAGTCACTCCCTATTTCCCTTTTGCCTGAGCTCCAGGTAACCTCTCCTCTCCATACACCTCTCTGTAGATTTACCTATTCTGGACATTTCCTTTAAGTGTGCTACTCTGTGTGTGGTGTTTAATGTCCAGTTTCTTTCCCATAACTGTTTATGTAATACATGCTGATGTATGCCTGCAGGTTGATCGAGCACATTTTGTTTATCCTTTCATCAGTTGGCGGCTATTAGGATCATTTCTACTTTTTGCAAATTAATAACAAACATTATTAGCAAATAGTACACCTGTGAGCATTTGCATGTGTGTGTGTGTGTTTTGTAAGCATGTGAACGTGCTTTCAGTTTTCGTAGATGTAAACTATTGCTCGGTCATTAGTAACTATGTTTTCACCTTTTCAGAAAATCATTGGCTCTTAATCTGAAGTTATAAGTAGCAGTAAAAAAACTGATGGAAGTATGGACAAAAAAAATTTTCTGTGCCTCACAGAAAAATGTAGCCTGTATGCCCATCTTTGCAGGTAGCCTTCAATTTCATAGAAAAGAACAGTTGGAATTCTCTCTTTAGAACCTTGAACCCTGTTTTAAACTGTCACCTCCAGAAACATTGAGGATGATACACACTTATTATAAAGTAAGCCAGATCCTTCTGTTAGAAAGGGCTTTACCTTCAATCAGACAAGGCAAAAGGGAACAAAAGGTTTTTAAGAATGCACATATTACTTAAATCCAAGCAAAAAAGCAAATATATTTAGTATGAAGATGAATGCAGTGGTCCTAGAAAGTTTGTTTGTTTGTTTGTTTGTTTGTTTGTTTGTTTTAAAACTTGCCACCATCTTATTAGGAAACATTTGATATACATTATAAACAGATCCCTGCTGTGTACAGTGTGGCAAAAGACAGCCTTACCTTAAAACAGCTTTAAGTGTTATCAACTTGAAGGGAAAGGGATGTAGACTTTTGAGAGAGGGGTTATAGTGGAAGATATACTCACCAGGAGAGATGCAACTAGTCATAAGAGTCACACGTGCAGAGCTTTGGAACTGAAGGAGAAAGAGCTACTAGTTCTGGCTAGTTTATACCAGCTCAACACAAGCTAGTGTTATCTGAAAGAAGGGAACCTCAATTGAGAAAATGCCTCTAGAAGCCCCCACTGTGAGGCATTCTTAATCAGTGATTGATGTGGGAGGGCCCAGCCCACTGTGGGTGGTGCCATCCCTGGGCTGGTGGTCCTGGATTCTACAAGGAAGCAGACTGAACAGCCGTGGGGAGCAGGACAGTAAGCAGCACCCTCCATGGCCCCTGAATCAGCTCCTGCCTCCAGGTTCCTGTCCTGACTTCCTTCGTTGATGGACTAGCATGTGGAAATGTAGGTCGACCCCTTCCCAGGTTGCTGTTGGTGAT